CAGCCCGGCCTGGGCGCTGTTGCCGGGCTGCCCTGACGCAGCTTCTTGTTTTTCTCGAGTTGGCTTCTCTCTGTCGCCCAGACTGGGGGCTCCAGCGGTCCTTCCGCCTCAGCCTCCCGAGTAGCCGGAATCACAGGCACGCACTGTCCTGCCTGACGGGCTTCACTTTGTTGTAGAGATGAGGTCTCGCCAAGTTGCCCCGTGGGTCTCGGGCCCGCGAGCTCAGGCGGTCGCTCTCCTCAGCCTCCCGAAGCGTGGGATCACAGGCTGAGCCACCGAGCCCAGCTGCCACCGAGTTTTTCTTGAGCCAGGCCCCTCCATCGCCCAGGCTGGAATGCGGTGGCGACTTCACAACCTCCTGGGCTCAGGCCACCCTTCCGAGCCGGCCTCTGGAGTAGCTGAGACTGCAGGGTGTGCCACCACACCTGGCTGGGTTTTTGCTTTTTGTGGAGACGCGGTCTCCCGTGTTGCCGAGGCCGGTCTGGCGTTCCTGGGCTCAGGGGACCCTCCTGCCTCGGCCTCCCAAAGTGCTGGGATGACGGGCTGAGCCACCGCGTCCGCCTCCGCCCTCTTCTCCGGCCTGCACCTCCCCGTCCGTCTCTGGAGCCGACTCCGTGTGCACCCTCCTCCTCCCCCCGCCCTTCCTGGCTGGCTCCTGCTCTGAAGCCCAGCCAGCCCAGCTCTTGGGCGCTGAGGCCAGGGATCGCCTGGCCCCCGGGAGGACAGCCACCTCAAGCCCGTATCTTCTGGCTGACTGTCGCCCCGCACCCCACACGGAAAGCCCCGTGATGCCCTGCCATCTCTGGCCTCAGCAGCCTGTGTCTACTGTGCCCAGCGAGGGAGTGCCCGTGCCCCTCCTGTCTCCCACGTCTGTGTCTGCCTGGGCCCGCAGCAGGGCCACAGAGGATCGGGAGCCACAAGCCGCCTGGCAGCAGCCCCCCTGCGTCCTGCCTTGCGGAGGGCAGGCTACCTCCGGGTCCTTGGCCTCGAGGGCGTGGACTCCGTTACTCCCTGCGTGGTGACGCAGGCCCAGGTCGCTTGGTCAGCTGGGCCGCACACGTGCTCTGCCCTGACGTCCACCTTGTTCTCCACCCAGGCTGGGCGACTGTGAGGTGACCAACGGTGGCTGTGGCAGCCTCGCCTCCACCCTGCTGGCCAGCCGCAGCCTGCGAGAGTTGGACCTCAGCAACAATGGCCTGGGGGACGCAGGCATCCAGCAGCTGCTGGACAGCGTCAGGCAGCCCGCCTGTGCCCTGGAGCAGCTGGTGTGAGTGGGCCAGCGGGGCTGGGTGGGTCCGCGGCGGGAGCTGGTGCGGTGACTGTCCCACCTGCCCCCAGGCCTGAGTGGGCCGGGGGCCGAGACTCACCGCCATCCCTGCCCTCCCGCCCGCGTGCAGCCTGTACGACATCTACTGGTCTCAGGAGATGGAGGACCAGCTGGCGGCGCTGAAGGAGGAGAAGCCGTCCCTGAGGGTCATCTGCTGAGGCACTTGCGGCCCCCTGGACGGGCCCAGCCCGAGCCCACCCCCGGGACCCCACTGTGTGCCCCGCTTCAAAGGGAAACGCGTTTACCCGTTTCTGAGGAGAGCGTAGACACTTTGTGACCATTAAAGCACTTTCTTGGCAGGAGGGCCTTTGCCATTCCTGGGGTCCCTGCAAAGCCCTGGGATCTGGCCTGGAGACTGTGGAGGACCGGGGGGGCCCCACCAGGTCCCCTGCTCAGGGGCTCCGGCTGCAGGCCCCTCCTTGAAGGCCCAGGCCCTGGGCTTCCAGAAACCATCCCACCCACAGGGGCTTACTTCCTCAGGGCCGGAGCGGATTCAGCTCCGCCAGCCTGGTCTCAGGGTGACCTAGCCCACTGGTTTTGTCATGAGAAGCCGCAGCCTGCCCACACCGAACGTGGGCGAGTAGACTCTCCTTGGCTGTCTCCCAAGATCCGTGCAGGGTCTGCTGCACCTGTGGCTCAGGCCGCGGCACAGCTGACCCAGCCCCGTGCCCCCAAGGGTGCACACCTCAGCTCTCAAAGGCTGCTTCTTGGGTGGCAGCATCAGGCTCGCTCCTGCTAAGCCCCCTCACGTGCCCCCCCTTGGCTTCTGAAGGGGGCCACGCTCAGGACCCCTTGCACTGCTGGAACGCACTGCAAGCTTGGGTGCATCCAGAGGGCACAGTGCACTTTGGACACAGGATGCGGCCCGCAGGCCGTGGAGGGAAGCGTCGGGGGAGGCAGAGGGTGGACAGGACGACCCACCCCAAGGCTCCCACAGTGAGAAGACCAGCATCTCATCAGGGTCAAAGCAGCGTGTGCCCTTGGGCACCGAGGAACACCCGTCCTCTGCAAGAAGTCATGGAGGGCCGCCAAGGCCAGAGGCCAAGATGCCTCGGAGGTCACACCTCAACGTGAGACCCGAGGGGAAGGCTGCAAGGCCTCATGATGCAGGGGGGCATCTTCCCCCAACAGCAGGGAAGGAAGCTTGCAAAAAATCCCCTGTGGGCCTGGGCTCTGAGGCACAGCCACCCACCCCCTAGTCTGCATCCAGCCTGCCACCAACACCCCCACCCGTGTCCGTGACTGGAACAGAAACCAGGAGCCCCCCGCCTCTTTGTTTGGGAACTCTTATGGTGAAGTTTTAAGACACCAGCCTCAGCAGCAGCCGCCTCTCCCCAGGAATCGGGTGCCCACTTGCCCCACGGGAGGACAAACACAGCACAGGCGGGGGCCCTGGGCGCTGGGAAGCCTTCCCGGTTGTCCTGGCAGACCCAGCCGGGCTGTGCAGCCCAGCCCACAGGGCCCCAAGCCCGCCAGGCGCGCCGCCCGCTCTGCCCCCACGCGGGCCCCACTTCCCAGCACATCCCCTCCTTGCTGAGGCCTTTCCCAGGGAGCTCGGGACCACGGGCACTCGGGGTGATGGAGGTGGCTACGGACCTTCAGTCGCTTTATTTGTTGTTTGCTCGCAGAGATGGCCCGAAACCCGGAGCCATGGAGACCGACCCCAGCGCCCGGGCGCAAGTCCCTGGCTCCCGGAGTTTCTAACTTGATGCCACCGAGCGCCAGTTCAGTGACCGCCGACCCCGTCCACTAGTCCTCCCGGTTAGTGTGTTAGGCGAAGGCCCCGAGGCAATGGCTCAGTGCGGCCATGTCTGGATGGCCCGCTGCTTCTCAGCCCTGCATCTGCGGACGGCCACCCTCTCGTGTGCCGTCGGAGGCAGATGTGGGCCAGTGTGGACCCCACCAGGGCTCAGAGTGGCCGGGGACATGGCGAGAGGAGAGGGCCCCAGGACGCCTCTGCCTGGGCACCACAGACGGGCAGTGGGCACTGGGAGGCCAAAGGCCACTGGGCTGACCAGGCGGAAGGCGGCCCGACAGCTCATGGTCCCGGCCACGTCTTAGGAGCCAAAAGCACACGGACCCACACGAGTACACTTCACATGGGGTGAACACGGGCCCAAATACACGCACCCACGCAGACGTGGCGAGCGTGCACACACGCAGGCGTACACGCATGCACACGCGGGGACAGGCCACGTAGGCCTCCTTCGGCCCCTCCCCTCAAGCCCTCCCAGCACACAGGAGAAAGGGAAGACGACCTCTCGGGCAGAGCCGGTGACACT